ACAGCACTCTACTACACACACATTCATACAGCACTCTACTACACACATTCATACAGCACTCTACTACACACATTCATACAGCCCTCTCTACTACACACACATTCATACAACACTCTACTACACACATTCATACAGCCCTCTACTACACACATATTCATACAACACTCTACTACACACATTCATACAGTACTCTACTACACACACATTCATACAGTACTCTACTACACACACATTCATACAACACTCTACTCCACACACATTCATACAGCACTCTACTACACACACATTCATACAGCACTCTACTACACACACATTCATACTGCACTCTACTACACACACATTCATACAGCACTCTACTACACACACATTCATGCAGCGCTCTACTACACACACATTCATACATAATGTCGTGATCTCAGCTCCCTGCCTCCTCTGCTGTTTGCCACCTGCAAGCGCTCTTGGCCACGCCCACTTAGCCGCTTTGCATGGAGAACAGCTGATCAGCTACAGCAGGAAGTTTATCCAGCAGTAAGGACTGCACAAAGCTGCAAAAGGAAGCTTTTTCTGCAACTCTGTGCTGCACAAAGGTGCAGGAGGTGCTAAATAATTTAAAATAATTTATTTTAAATAAAACTTCCATACCGATCATGCGGCTCATCCGTCAATCAGCCAATTGTGTGTCTTGTACAATTGTACTTTGAAAAGCCGCGATAGAGCGAGTCTGCGATAAACTAACCGCCATGTAGCGAGGGGCTACTGTATTCTATTTGAAGTCATTTGATGTGACGCTGTAACATTACATTGTTTGGTATTAAACTGAACTGAGATCAGAAAAAATCTGTTATTCCATCAGTGTTACCCACTTGGTAAATTCTCCTACTTGGCCAAACCTTAAAGCCCTGAGAAGTCCTAATTGATCTGATTCTGACAAATTATCCATATAAATCTTCCTCTGCTTCTTACGGAGCCACTCCTTGGTTCTCCTGGCTGTGTGCTTCGGGTCATTGTGATGTTGGAAGACCCAGCCACGACCCATCTTCAATGCTCTAGGTGAATGGAATTAAGACCAAAAAGTTCTATTTTGGTCTCATGTGACCACAGAACTTTCTCCCATGACTCCTCTGGATCATCCAAATGGTTGTGGGCAAACTTAAGACGGACCTGGACGTGTGCTGATTTAAGCAGGGGAACATTCTGTGCCATGCATGATTTTAAACAGTGGTGCCAGCTCTCTTCAGGTCATTGACCAGCTCCTCCCGTGTAGTTCTGGGCTGATTCCTCACCTTTCTTAGGATCATTGATACGCCACGAGGTGAGATCTTGCATGGAGCCCCAGTCGGAGGGAGATTGACAGTCATGTTTAGCTTCTTCCATTTTCTAATAAGTGCTCCAACAGTTGATCTTTTTTCACCAAGCTGCTTGGCAATTGCCCTGTAGCCCTTTCCAGCCTAGTGGAGGTCTACAATGTTGGCACTGGTGTCTTTGGACAGCTCTTTGGTCTTAGCCATGTTAGTAGTTGGAGTCTTACTGATTGTGCGGGGTGGACAGGTGTCTTTAAACAGCTAACAACCTCAAACAGGTGCTTCTAATTTAGGACAATCAGTGGAGTGGAGGTGGACGTTATAGAGGCGGACTAACAGATTTTTGAGGACCAGAACTGTTGCTGATTGGCAGCTGTTCAAATAATTATTTGCAGCAGTAACACACAAATAAATTATTTAAAAAACATTCATTGTGATTTCCAGATTTTTCTTTTAGATTATATCTCTCACAGTGGACATGCACCTAAGATGAAAATTTCAGACCCCTCCATGATTTCTAAATGGGAGAACTTGCAAAGTCGCAGGGTGTTCAAATACTTATTTTCCTCACTGTATACCATATTTATTTAATTTTCCAAGGAGAATAGTGTGATCAATAGTATTGAATGCTTTTTTTTAAATCAACAGAAATACTAACACAATACTGTTTTTGATCGACAGCAGTAGTTATTTGTTCTATTATTTCCATGAGAGCCATTGATGTAGTTTTTTTTGCTCTAAACCCATACTGACTGCTACTTAGAATGTTTTGTTTAGTAATAAATTTATTTAATCTGGTCACAAATAGTTTTTCTAGATAAATTTTTGAAATAAGTGAGGAGTTGATGATTCTTGTGATCAGAAAAGAGACAATTGATAAGAGGAGAGGGATTGGGATCCAAAGAGCAGGTGGTAGTTTTAATACCAGACAAAAATGTTGTCAGTTGAGCAGAGGAGATTGGAGTGAAGTGTGAGAGCTGCTGAATGGAGCTGGAGGGAGGTGAATTTGGAGGAGCTTTGTGAGCAGAGACGATACAGTACACGGTATACAGTACATTCATGCATACATTCATATACACAACAATATTTGTGGGGCAGAGATGAGGTAGGCCAGCTGACCTGGGACCAGAAAGTTGCAGTTTGCCTCCCAGCCATTCCCACATGTGGTGTCTCTGAGCAAGACACCCAATCCCTAGTTGCTCCCCAGGCTGTCCACTGCTCCACCTGGGTGCTTTTCACATGTGATGGGTTAAATGTAGAGAACTAATTTCACCATTGTGTGGAAACATACAATGATGACAATCTCAGACTTCTCTATGTGGACTTCTTCCTTCATATATTTGTACTGTGATTGTACAGAGAGGTGCTGGCTCTGACTCCGGAGTCGAGACCAGCTCTATAATTTGTGCCAGTTCTTAATTTTTTTTTGCAGTTTTTAACGTTTCTCAATTTGATGTTTTAATTTGTTCTCTTGACAGTGAGGTGATTACTAGGTTTAGTATTTGCTGCTGCTCTTCTTGGCCAGGTCTCCCTTGAAAAGAGGTTTTTAATCTCTCTGGGACTTTTCTGGTTAAATACAGATAAATTAAAATAAATTGAAAGCCTAAGCTGCTAGATGAGTTTATTTCTCCTCCTGAACATTTGTCGTCTTTAATCTATGACTTCCGATGTTCATCTACACCTTTCATGATCTTCCTTCATCACTAAAATGTTCAGTAATGCAGAATCTGACAGTGTTGTGTTTGTTTTTCCACAACAGCTTCAGAAGTTCATCAAGTGGTTGGAGGAGGCGGAGGAGTCTTCAGAGGACGGAGAATAACAGGAATGTCTTCAGGATGGACAGACTCAAATCTGTGAACAGTTCAACTCCTGTGTGCATAAAGAGTTGCGAGTTAACAGCATCAGGATCCGGTCCGTTTGGGTGAATCAACCTTGTGTTTTCATCACAGTGCCAGGTGACGTCCATCACCTGAGCTGTGTTCAAATAAAGACTGTTCCTCCACTCCTTTTGACTCAAACGTCACATTTTTCTGCTGCACATCTGTTCGTACGTGACATGTTCGTTAAAAACCACCACCATCTGTCCAACAAATGAAATTAAAACGCAGTAAAGATTTATTTACTGAATTTCTAGACATTTATCATCCATGTCAACATTTCAGAGAAATACAATCAAGTTAACAGTTAAAATCTTTAGTTTTTAAGTTTCACAGCACTTTTATTGAATGTTCCTCTGATGTGGCAGAAATAAAGTTGAACTTCTGAGGTGAATTTCTGCATCAAAGTGATTATAAAGTTAGAGTTTTATACATTTTCCATCATCTTCACATTCAACCAGTTTAATTTTGCTCTTGTTTCTAAGCTGCTTGTGTTCGATCTTAATGCCCTTCGTTGTCGAGTACCGGAGCTCAGAGGGACAAAATACTGCAAAGATTTCATCAAAACGTCTAACCCTAACCAGTATGTTTCCAGTTCAGATGTTTTTTGGTGTGTTTAATTTAAAGGTTCTGATTTTGATATTTAATGTTTAAAGAACAGCGCGTGTAAAAACATCTGTCGTTTCACATTTTGTAATTTATAAAAAATGTATTTAGGTGTTTTCATGAAACTCATCACATTGATTTTCATGAATCATGACTGATTGTAGGAAAGATCCTTTATGTTTGCATCCAACTCATTTCATGGAAGCTTGAGGAGACACCTCTGGTTTGGACTGAGCTTCTCGCCTACTTGGACCTGTCCTGCCTTGCGGTGAAGTCGTAGACGAGTCCGGCTAGAAGACCAGCTCCGGTGAGCCCCGTCACGGCCGTCAGCATCTTCCACATGCTGGCTGAAGCTTCGTGCCTGTCCATGAAGCTCCTGTAGTCGCTGGGCACCAGGATGTACTTGCGGCCGTCCTGTGGGGCCTGCAGTCTCACCACCTGGCCCCCCTCCAGCACCACCTCCCCGAACCCCGTCAGGCTGCTCCCCACTCGCAGCATCTCCTCGCTCTCCACCACAGCTACTGGTTTCTCACCACTCAAACCCTGCAACACTACGTCCACCAGCCCCTCCTCAGCACGCCTCACTTTGGAATAAACCGTCTCCAGGAAGCTCCCCGAGGCCTCCAGGGGGGTTTGGACCCTCACATAAACATCAGGCACGTAAGAGCCAGGGCTGACCAGACTGAAGGGCACAGAGTTGTTGGTCTCCTTCTTGTTTTCTGTTCGACATTTCCTGAAACAAGAACTGTATTAACAGATGGACACGTTCATACAAAATAAATCTGGATGTGTTTCTGAGTTGGACCTACCAAGTCCTGGTGATGTGGTTTAAGTACTTCCACTGCTCCTCTGTGACGATCTTCTGAATCACACCAGAGCACCGAGGAACAAACTGACTGGCCAGAGGTTTATCATCAGCCTGCACCACACCTAAAAGAAAGGGCTTCCAGTAACCCTCATGGTCAGAGTTCATAAATACTGTCTTTAAACATACTGGTACCTTCAACAGCAACATACTGGAGCCGCTTGTAGGGAGTGGAGGTCAGAACTTTAACAAAATGCTGGTCTGGTCTGAAAACAGGTATTTCCTAAAATGGAAAGGCACAGTTTAAATCTTCATTTAACTACAGCTTCGTGGACGAAAATCACCAATGATGGTCAAAAACCTGCCCTCAGCCTCGTTACTTCTTTCTTCTTTTCCTGGTACAGATGATAAAACAGACCAGAGAAGGCGAAGCTGGACCCGACACCGATCAGAACCAGAGGGTTTATAGGAGAGTCGCCCATTTCTGGAACCGCAAAGTGAAACAGATTATTTACTGTGAGCACGAGGGAACCTCAGACGATTTTATACAAATGCATGTGTTTGTAGTTAATTCTTAAAATTACAATATGAATAAAAATGTTAATCATTAATTACCTGAAAAACTACCGGATAAATCTGTCACAAATAGCCGGTTTATTTATATAAAACGAAACAAAACTTTACTTGTTTCCACTTCCTTGTTTTCGCATGACGTCACTTTTAAAACCAATAGAATTAAAGCTGCGTTTTCGCATTTGTCCGCTAGATGGCAGCAGTCATGTTTTTAATGTAACTGCGTTTTATTTTTAAATTAATTTATTATAAACATTTAATTTCCTTTATTTTATTAGCGGTTGTTTAAATAAACACACAAATGAAAAACACTTTTGTAAATAAATATTGTTTACTGCTCGTATATCTGAAAAGAACTCCAAATAAAACTGAAAGAGGAACATTCCTGTGCACAAGGACTGAGTCATAAATTAATTCGGTTATTAAGACTAAAATGTAAAGTCTGTTCACATTAAAATGTGCATGTGTCAGTCAGGCTGTACAGTACCTGTAATTATGCAGCGTGTCTGAAGAAAAGCAGCATCACTGTTGCTCTTCTGTCCTGATTTGTGAACCCTGGACAGGAAGATTAGTGAAAATAAAAAAAAATTAATCTTTCTTGATTTTTGTCTTTTATTTGGAGAAGAAACATCCACTTTATTGGTTTTCTGGCTGCCATGACTTTTTACATGACTACTGAATTGTTTAAAGATTATTCACGGGTTTAGTATTTCAAAAAGCAAATGACATGAAACTTTTTTCAATGTATTTTTTCAAGGCGATAGTTCTTTTTGTATTAATTTATATTTAATCTTCACATGCTATTTTTGGTCAAATAAACATCCCAAGAGCAGCTTTTATGTTACTAATAATTTGAGGCTGAATGTTCAAAAGTCCTCCAGACGAGTCTTTAAAAGCTTCGTGCTGCTGGAGTTAAAGACCTTTCCTTTGTAGCAGCTTCTGAGGGACTTTAGAGCCTGATTGTAATTAGATGCTGCACTTTGACTCAACAAAACTATCTTAACTTAACCTCTACTCTGAACACAATCAACCTTAATTTAATAATAATAACTTGATAGTTTCAGCTTATATTTTTCAGTAAGTACTGTAATAACAGTCATTTTCTGCAGTTTGTTATGAATAAAAATAACCTCATTTAGACTGAAGTGAATAATTTTGTCATATTTTCTTCATGCAGCCTTTATTTCTAGGGGTTATTCTCATTGAGCCTCGAGGACTCAATTACAAGAGGGACCTGTTTTAAACAAAGAACACAGATGAAGTACACACAACAACAACAATCATATAAAAACATATAAAATGAAAAGTAAATAAAAGAAATGTTATTTTAAAAAAACAGCTAGATTATAAAGCAGTGTAGAAAACTAAAAACAGGAACATGTCTGCATTGTTTTTTTTTTTCAGGAACTTAACAGATGTGTAGTGAACCAGATGACCTCAAATCTACCAGATGGACAGAGACTGTTATTTTCATTGATCTGAATAAGTCTGGGCCATCTGATGTCTTTCTTTCTTGAATTAATCAAGCAGAAAAGACAATTCTTTATAATC